CAACTGACCTTGTTTATTCTGAATTCAGACACACACAAGCGTTTTTATGCCTTGACCCCTCTCTATGCTCCTCTTCTCTCTATTTACTCTTCCATTGGTCAGTTCTGAACCACTTTCCAGTCCTCCTTTTTCCTACTTCATATGTACCACTTCCTAATCCCACATCACTTCACTCTCTACTATTCCTACCCCTTCTCGTCGATTTCAGATGTTCCACAGCTACAGTCTTAAGAACTGCCTTTACAGCCATTCCCCGAACCTCAAGATCTTATATCTCCAAATGTGTTCCATGGTGGAATTCTGATTGCACCAAAGCACTTCGCTTAAAACCTGAAACAGTTATTGCTACAAACAAAGCACCCCTAATCAGCTATTGGCCCTTGTCTCCTTTAAAAGAGCATCCGCCAATCTTCGTCGTACAATCCAGAATAGTAAAACAACTAGCTGATGAAATTATGTTTCGTCAATTAGATCTTATAGATCTATTTCAGCTGTCTGGCATCGAATTAGGCAAACATTCCCTTCATCCAGCCCCTGTCCTCTATATTTGAGATACTCTCATCTCTGATCCTCTCCAAGTCATTAATGAACTGGGTGACTATTTCAGCCGGGTCAGTAGTCGTTATTACCTTTCTCCATATTTCTCTTCCATTAAGACCCACAGAGAACATCCGTGAAGGCCCTGACTTTATGCACTGCCGTATGTTCCGACACCTTCCATCATTTTCTCTATCCTTCCTATCAACTTTTTTCAACCACATATTGATGATGGGAAAGTTTCCTCCTTATTGGCGAAGAGTTCTCATCCTCCCCTTCTTAAACCCAATAAATCAGGTATCCTCCCTCAAGATTACCGTTCCATCACTTTAACTAGCTGTTTTTGCAAACTACTAGGACCAATGTTTAACTTCCGGCTTAATGTTGTATCTTGAATCTCACAATTTTCTCTCTCCTTCCAAGTATAGCTGACCCCCTTGCTCATTTCGATACATTGCATTTGCATGCCATATTCTCTGACCTAGAAATAAGCATATGATATCACTTGGCGGTACCATATTCTCCAACAACTAGGCATACTCGAAAATATGGGTGTTTTTATAAAGTCCTTTCTCTCCAAATGCACTTCGCACATCAAAATTGCTTCTTCCACATCTTCATCCTTACCTCAATTCAAAGGCAAGGTAATGGGTTCATTACTACCTTATTCCTTCTTGCAGTCGATGGCATTGTTTCAGTTCCATCACCAGGAGCCTGGTCACTACTAAATGATGATGATTTAACCATCTTCGCCTCAGCCTTCGGGCAAGTAAAGTGGTAACGTGTCGGCCTGTCATCCGAGGGGTCGGCGGTTCGCGCCCCGCCCAGGTGCGAGAAGTTGCAATTGTCGCCTGGAGGTTAGGACTAAGCTTAGTCGAGTCAGCACCAGCTGACACATGTTTGCGAGTAGGCATTAGTGGACACAGGCCAGGCTCCTCACATGTGCATAGCCCGGACAAGGCTCAGCATCGCATATCGGACTTCTTATCTTCGCCTCTGGCACATCCATGCCAACTCTTCGCCAGTTCCTTCAGTCTGCAATATCATCAATATCTTCCTGGGCCACTAACCATAGCTTTCGCTTTTCTACCTCCAAATTTTTCTCTATCCCTTTCTCTAGCACACGTGTACGTCCCCAACTGCCGCTCTTGTTCTATGGCACTCCACTCTAATACCGTTCTTCTGGCAAATTCCTGGTGAGTAAATGCCTTTTACATTAAAGAAAAAGCTTGCTGCCTCCGAATTTTAGACTCTCTCCCATATATCCTGAGGCTCAGATTGCAAGACTCTCTTTCATCTTCATGTCACCTTGATCCTCTCCACTCTTGATTATGCATGCCATATCTACTGCTTTGTCTCCACCTCCATTCTCGCTCTTCTTGATACAATCCACCACTACGGTAGCCTAGGCGCCTTCCTCTCCTGGCATGCCTGAGTCAGGCATGCCATCTCTCTCTCGACGCCGTACCCTTCTCTCTCTGATGTTATCCCTGCTTCCAACAACTGTCCCTCACCAAACTAGCTATCCCTGTTTCCAACCTCTTCTCCACGTTTACATATTCCTTTCTCCATTCGCATGGATACCCCTCTCTCCCATTCCCCCTCTCCCGTTTCTGTCCATTCCATTCCTCCATGACTTGTAACTTACCCTCGAATTTGCTCCTATTTTCCCTGACCCGCCAAAATCAGATACCACCCTTACGTCCTTCTCACCCATTTCCTTGATCATGTCTCCATTCATTCCTCCAGTATTCATGTTTATACTGATGGCTCCAAATTCACCTCCGGTGTAGGTTTTGCAGTAAGCTTCCCAACTCTCACTTTCAAATATCCTCTCTCTCCTAAAGCCAGGTCCTTACTACAGAACTGTATGCACTCCTTTTGCCTTAAAAACATATACTCGCTCCTTTCTTCCTCTTTCACTATTTTTCTGACTCTTGTAACTCATTATCTCATAATATCATAAAGTCTATGCACTCGCCCAATCCCCTTACCTTTAAGATTCAGAACTGGTTGTTCTACCTGTCTACGCGATACAAATCTATCACACTCTTTCACACTCCGCTACTATGTCGACATCACACCAACCACGTGTCTCATGTATTCCAACCATGGATTATTACCCCCACTTCAAGACCTCCTTCGCACTAATAAATTACATACTGTAAAACTATCAATATCCTCCTGGTCAGCTCCATTTCATCGAAACAGACGTTGAGCGACGGCCCTTGCCTCCTTGCATATTGGTCACACCCGTCTAACACACTCCTATCTGATGTCACGTTTTCATCAGCCCCTTTGTTCCCTATGTAATGTTCCTCTTTCAGTTTCACACATTCTGTTGTCCTGTGCACGCTTTACTGCAGCCTGTACCTCTGCCTTCCCTCACCTATCCTCCTTTCACCGACCTCCCAACCTGTCAGACATACTTACGGAATCCTACACTTTCTGCTCTGACAACCTGTTTTCCTTCCTCACACGCATACATATCCTTCACTTGATCTAATCCCTCTTACTTAATCCTACCTTAATCCATTAATTCATCACCTTTACCCACCTTTAACCTTCCCAGTACTATTCTAGACTGTTGACATATAGCAACTAATTACTAGTTGATATATGTCAAAAACTAAACTCAACCCTCTTCCCTAGCCAATTCTAATACTATACCTTCCTGTAGTGCTACATGACCTTAGATGTCAAGCACATTTATTTTGTTTTTAACTATTAACTATTAGCCAGTCTTACAACACATGTTTGTTTTATATATAATATTCAATATATGCACCTGACTAGAGGTTTCATGTTTTGTTCTTCGCTCTCCAACCTTTAAGACTGAAACAGTTTGGTATTGCTATAAATCTTATCAATTTTGCAATATTCGACTTTTTTTTGTAATACTGGTTCTGGTTTCATTTATTCAAAAAAAATCCTGATATTCGTCGGAATTCAAGGATTCCCCTAGATCAGAACTGAAATTTGCCCGCTCACCTCCCTGCCTGCCTCTCGAATGGGAAATTGTTGCCCCTTTGTTTGTGATCCTCCAGTTGAACCTTCAGTATCGTGGATAATCTGGTATTACGTGAACATTCCCCATATATATATATATGTCTGTGTGTCAGGTTGCTTCTTACGTGGGCATATGGGCACACTTTATTTATTTATTACTATGAAAATAAAGAACAATGTAAGCTGTTTTCTCTGAAGGTATCAACTTCACAAAATCCGTTTTTTATCTGTTCGCTCGCTCTCTCTCTCTCTCTCTCTCTCTCTCTCTATCTATCTATCTATCTATCTATCTATCTATCTATCTATCTATCTATCTATCTCTCTCTCTCTCTCTCTCTATATATATATATATATAGATAGATAGATAGATAGATAGATATAGATATAAGATAGATAGATAGATAGATATAGATATATAGATATAAGATAGATAGATAGATAGATGTGTGTGTGTGTGTGTGTGTGTGTGTGTGTGTGTGTGTGTGTGTGAAATTTATAGTAACAATAATAATGATAATAGGAATAAGAACAAGAACAATGGAAATAAGAATTGGGTTTTCAATTCGTGCACAACGGTGATATAACTGCAGTGCAGAGTTGCGCCAACCATGACAAGAAATCCACACACAAGTTTGAGGAGTTAGAGGTGGAGTGAAAACGGCATCACATTTTACCCTATGGCCGGCTTGAAGGGCTTGTTTCTAGAAGTCGCAAAACATAAAAAAAATAACTTCACCAAATGTTTCATAAGGCCTTTTTTTTAAAACGGTATGCAATACATATGTTCACGTAGTAAAAGGTTGGCGTTTTCAATCTAAGCAGTTGTATGACTAGCTTTTGAGTTTTTTCGTGTTATGTCGCTCTCTTGCGGTGTAAACCCTTCATTTCTCAACCTCAAATACTACATAAATTAATATCTTAATATATTTGGAAGTACTTTGTATGAATGAGCCTCACGGAGGATTTATTAACACTGATTATATGAAACACAATGTCAGTTTCAACAGAATGAAGCATAAATATATACACAGGATGCAAGAACAATTAAGAATGAATACTGCATAAACACAATGTGAGTGAGCTTCATAATTCAGAATAAATCGCCATGTGTGTGTGTGTGTGTGTGTAAATATATTTGTACATATGACGAATATCCATGTGTTTACGTATTCACATATTCCGTTGAACAAAATATCAAGTCTGCTTGTTTACACAAAACCTTTGCTCATCAGCGCACTCTGACATAGATGGAGCTGGGGTCCCTCACACGACGAAGACCAAGTCAGGGTGTCACATTGGCGGGCTGGTCATCAAACGCTGTGACTAATCCGAAAACTATGTAAATCTTTTGGCTGATTAAAAAAAGGTATATATGAGCGCGCTTGGCTTGTAATGAATGTTCTCCTTTAGCCATGTAGTATTTAGGTGCATGGGACGAAATTAACCGAATAAACTTGTGAAAACAGCATGTATTAAGTATAACACACAGCGCACAAACAGACCTAACCCTGTTTCCCACATACGACCTGGCCTCATGGGTCGCGCTCATACCACCTGCCATAGAAGCCGGCCGTCATGAGCTCAGGCAACGCAGCCGACGTCGAGATGGTGCAGGAGCGCTGGTCGTCGCAGCTGTAGTCGTAGAGGTCGTTCTCCACTAGGACGAGGTCGCGCGTGAACATGGCCGGGTAGACGTGATCCACGGCGAAGTCCGCGTAGATGGTGAAAGCGGGGAAGGTGTCGGCGCCCGGCAGGTCCTCCAGCTGGCCGCAGGTGGCCACATCCTCGCTGCGGCACCACACCACGGCGCAGATCTGGGCGTAGATCTGGTATGTGCCAAAGCCCTGCACGACGACACCGCTGTAGGCCAGGAGCGAGTAGGTGAGGTTCCCCGCCGGAGTATAGGCCAGGTGGCAACACAGGCCGTCATCGTGACACGCCTCTGCATGCTGCACCACCTGCGAGTCGCCCTTCTGCAGCACCACCTGCGTGTAGTTGCTCATGTCGTCGTAATGCACTAGGTGATCCCGACGCGGCAGGCGGCTTCCCCGCTTCACCTCCGGGGGCGCGACGCCGTGGGACCGAGAAGGGCGGCGGGGGGGCCGTCTGCCGTCCACGGAGGCCACGGTCTGCACCTCCGACACGATGAGCCGCGACCCAGAATCAACGTCGTACACGTAGTCGTGCTCGAGGTCGGACGCGCCGCGGAAGATCCCGGAGCCCAGCTTGGAGCGCTCGGGGCGGTGGTGGCCGGACACCAGCAGGTTGACGCCCAGGCCGCGGCTCCAGCCGTTCTGCACGGAGGGCGCTGCGGGGGTAGAGGATCAGGCCATCGAGGACGGCATTAATGCATCTTTCTTAGAGCTTCTAGCATTCGTCCTGTCTCTATCTATATTTGCTTATCTATGCAACATCTACCTTATTATCTTATTCTCTCTCATTCCTCTCATTCTCTCCTCTACCATCATTTATCTGTCTCTAGTTATCTTCAGACCTCATTACATTTGTCTTTCATACGTCCCTCTACCCACTGCCCACGTCCCCGCCTAACCTTCGGCTCATTTAAGTCCCTGCTCTTACCGATGAGGAAGGGCATGATGTCCACCCAGGCTGTGCTCATGGCCACGTCCCTCACACCTCTCGAGTCCACGTTGAAGAGGCCGGGGTGGCCGAAGGCGATGT